GCGTCTCTCTTTGCTGCGGGCTGGGGGCCACCCCTCTCAGTCATTCTCGCCAGCCCATACAGGCTGCCTGGATGCAAGGATTTCGCTAGCATTGAGGCGGAATGGAAGCATGCGCCCGCGCCGCTTGCGCTTGCGAAATCATTGCTTTCGCCAGTTTATCCAACGCGCTGCCCAGGCTCGCCAAGAGAGAAGAGGCTAGGCCAGCTTCTCTCTCTTTGCTACGCCTGCTCGGCGGTTATTTTACCGCTCTCTTGTGGGGCGACATATTTAATTGTTCCCCGCCCTTGAGGCCGCCTTGTTTGACTGCGAGGCTCCCCAAGCATCGGGGCGCAATGGGAGCGAGCACCCGTGCCGCTCGCGCCCGGGAAACCTCGCGCAGCTCTGATGCGCATTTCCCCCCCGCCTAGGTTCGCAAAGAGAGAGAGAGAGAGAGAGAGAGAGAGAGAGAGAGAGAGAGAGAGAGAGCTCTGCCGCTGCCTGGGAGGAGGGTTTGAACTTTGAACGCACGCGCGTGGATGCCTGAGGGGGGGGGCAAGGCAAAGACCTCCGATGAGCCGGGACTGGGGCAATCAAATCCCCTCAGGCTTTCCCAGCATCACTCTTTGTAGTTTCGGGCCCTCGCTGTTTCGTGGCCCCTTTTCTCTCGGCCGCGCCCTTCCGCTCTTTGTCTGCGGCCCCTGGGCCCGCCCTTCGCTTTCTTTCGGCCCCTCGGGCCCTTCCGTCGCGCGTCGGCCGCGTGCAGGAGTTATTGTTCTGACGATAACCCGGGAGCTACGTCCGCCACCCCGCCCTCCGCGCCATCAGACGACTCGGGCAACAGCTTCGCGCTTTCATGAACTCTCGCCGCGGAGGCGCTGGGCCGTTTGCTGGCAGGTCCCCCGCCGCACATCTCGGCTGCTAGGCGCGAGTGCGTGCCGCCCTTCAGTCGCGCGGCCCAGGAGGTCTCCGCCTTTCTAGCTTCGGACGGGGGCGTCGACAAAGTCGCCGATTTGCACGCCGAGGTGCACGGCGCCGCGCAGGCTGCCGGCGCTAAGTTCGCGGCCCAGAGCCGCGCAGATTGGTCTGCTCGGCTACGCGCGGGGGTGGTTGAGGGAGCGAGGAGAGTTCACCAGTTCATCGGAGATCCAGGGCCATGGACCCCCTCATCCACCCTCTCGTCTGCTGGATGCGTTGTCAGCGACCCCTCGTCATTGCTCAAGGCTGAAGGAGAGATTCAGCAGTATACGGGGAGAGGGCCAAGGTGCACAGGCCGATGGTGAAAACCTGCGACCCCCATCCCGCGTTTGTCTGCTGGGGAAATCCGAGACATTTCCAAGTCGGACAAGGCAGTTTCGGCAGTGGCTATTGACGAATTTCATTGCAAGCATTTTTCCCTTCTGCCTATGACCGCGCCCGACTGCATGAGAGACATTGCCTCTGCCATGGGGGCTCTAGGCTGTTTGCCACCTCAGATCACGGCGGTGACTCTCGCACTGCTCCCGAAGCCGACTGGTGGCTACAGGCCGATTGGGGCGTTCTGCTCCCGGTTCAGGGTTCGGGGCCCCTTGCCTTGAACCGGGAGCAGCAACGCCCCTGGAAACATTGGGCCGCGGGCCAGTTTTTGGGAGCGGCCGACGCGGTGTGGCGCCAATCTGCCACCGCTGAAGCCGGCCCGTCTAGAGGGGGGTCGCCACGCAGTGTCTTCTGTGACCTTCGTAAAGAAAAAATGCTTCGAAAAGTAAGCTGCTCGGCGTGAGAGAAACGATTTCCCTTTGGCCTTTGGCCATTGCCAGGCCTTGCGTCCACGCCTACAGATGCGGGAAATTCTGCGTCTTGGAGGCTGGCTGGAAGACCCGTACTTCTGTTTGCGAAGAGTCATGGTCGGCTGCTCGATGGCTACATCGTTCATCAGAGGCTTCTGCCAGGACGGGCGCGATTCGCTTCCCCCTCAGCCGAGCCTCGAGTTAGATGTGTACATCGACGACCAGGGTCTGTCGCGCACGGGGCAGTATCTGGTCGTCCTTCGCTTGGTCGTCGAAGGGGCCAAGGCGCTCCACCAAGTGGTGACTTCGCGTTTCACTTGCTCGTTCGCTCTCAACAACGGCGGCGGCGTTCTCGCCCAAGGCTTTTGGAGATGAAGTGCCCCTTGCCCTGTCCCTTCGGTGGCAATTTCACTTCTAGTGCGATCAACTTTGGCGTTGACTACACGGCTGGCCGCGCGCCCAGAAATCAAGGCCGTTCGGCTAAGCCAAAAAGCGTATCGCCAAGGCTTCACGGGCCGCCAGGTGTTTGAAGAGGCACATCAAGATCCTCTCTCGGCCCCAGCTCCATCGCGCGTTTTCGGAGGGCCCGCTGGCTGGGGCCTCATGGCTCCGAGATCACTGGCGCGAGCGATCGTGAGATGCTGCGCCTGCGTAGGCGGGTTGTTTTTCAGTGGTCAGGCCTCGCTCTCAGTTGCGCTCGCTGACCACAGCTGCCACTCTCGATTCCGATCCGCGCCGGCGCGCAGCCACCGCCCCCATTGTCAGATGGTCGATAAAGATTTGGCTGAGTCAATCGGGGGCCCTCACTCGGAGGATACCCTTGCCCTCCATGCGTAGCGCATGGGGAGCGATTTTCCTGAACCCTTCTTGCTCCTGGAGGTCTGTCGCGGGTCTTGTCTCCGCCCTCAGGATGTCCCTAGTCTGCCTCGGCTGGTGCATCGATAACTTCATGACGGTGCGAGATGATCGCGGCTTCGTCATTCCCCTCGGGATTGTTTCCCCCGCGTTGATCAACGCGTTAGTTAAGGATGGTTACTTCAGGATGTTGGACTTGCTCTCGGGAGAAAAGAGAGGGGGTTCTTCCTCGAATACGCTATGATGTGCCACGCGAGGCCCTCGCCTCCAAGAAGTGCACGGCCCTTCAGAAGGCCCACGTCAGAGGTTTGGCCACGGAAGTTTTTCTTTCACGGGAGATAGGGCGATCTTCCCAGGCTACCTCGTGGACGGGCCATGCCCCTTCTGCGGCTGCTTCGACTCGGTTTTCCACGGGCCGTGGGCGCGCACCCGCGAGCCCGTCGTCGAGCTTAGATCGAGCTTAGTGGACGGCAGCACTGTAGTAGCAGCGTTGGCGGCTGAGGACAATGACGATGTGTTTGCGTTCAAATCTGGTGCTTTTCGCCGCCCCGCCGACGCGCGCCCCGAGCCCCTGACTGAGTCGGATGATGGTGCTTCTCTTGCGTGGCACTAGCAAGATCTGTTTTCTTCTTCGGGCCCAAAGCCCGGCGCCGACGTTTGGGGTAACGCGTGCATTGACGGGTCCAGCAGTCGACGCGTCATGCGATGGTCGATGATGAAGACGACTCTATAGCTGAATTCAGGGCCCCTGCATGGGCTCCTACCCTCAAACTCGTCAGTCAGCTGATCTCAGTTGTTGGACTTGGGCCAACGTGATCGCTTCGTCCACGATTTCGGTTTTCTCTGACTGCAGTAACGTGGTCAAGCCCGCCTGCAGGCCTAAACGTGAACAGTTCTCGGGTAAACGTGCCTATTCGGGAGCCTTCCTTCAGATTTGTGCGCGGGGCGCGAGTCCCGCACCCTGCACCAAGGTTGCCGCTCACAAAGATTTTGACGCGAGCGTCATCGACTCTGCCGAGCGCTGGAGGCGCCTCGGCAACCGTCACGCGGACGCGGCCGCTAAACATGCAGTCCGCCTCCATCCATCCTGCGCTGACAAGCTAGCTGATGCCGAGAAATTTGTCCTGCGCGCCCGTCAGACAATTCGCCTGGCCGCGCATGTCCTACCTTCTTGGCCTGCTTTGGATTTGACTGAGGCAGAGCGACAGCCAATTGCGCCCTCTGCCGCCGAGGCTCATGTTAGGCACCGCTGGGAGTCATGGTCAGGCGCGTGGCGCTGTGCTGTTTGTTTCCGTGGGCGGAGGTCGGTGGAGAGACCTCCGCCCGGCACCTGCCCGCTAGACTCGCCTTTGCATGCGCCTCGGCAGGACGTGTTAGAGCATCGCACGATTGTTTTTGACTGCTCCGACGGGTCTGTTGTTTTTTATTTGCGCCCGGTGCAAATCGTAATCGAGCGGCGCGTCTGTGCGCGGACTTGGGTCCAAGTGCCAGCCTCCTGCGTCTCGTTCCGCGAGATACTGCTGGAATGCACTCGGCAGATGATTGCACCCGCATTACGGGTTGCGGACAGCGGGTGTCACGGTTGACACGGGAAATTGTATGCAGTGTTTGAACACGTATATTTGATTTTGTTTCGGCCCCCATCTCCTCCTCGTAGTTGGTGGGCGATAGTTCCTCTCTTTGAGGACTTCGAGGCGAGCGTGGAGCTCAAAAAGACCATCGTTCAACCCCCTTTTGGGCAGGAAGGTTAGAGTCGGCACCCGACTGGGTGAGAAGAAAAGGAATCAGCGCAATGGGAAGGGGTGGAAGGGCGGGGTAGGATGTCAGATGTGGCGCGAGTGCACCTAGCTTGTCCTCCTCCCCGCTCCTACCTCCTCCCTCCTCCCTGAGGAGAGGTGAGTGAGGATAGTTGTAGAAGGACGGAATCTTTTCAGGGGAGCGTGGAAGGGAGGGCAGGGGAGGTGAGATGATGAGGGCGGGTGAGGGAGCAGAGAAGGGTCTCGGATGTGGAAGGTGGGAGGGGATGAGGAGATGAGGGGAGGAGGAGTGGGGAGGGGAGGATGACTACGGGAGGAGAGGAGGGGGAAGGGTATGGGAGGTGAGGGGAGGAGGGCTGAGAGGTGGAAGCAGTGATTCGGAGGTGTAGGGAGGAGAGAAGGACAGGGGAGGTGAGGGAAGCAGGGCTGGGGAGCGGAAAGCGGTTGCTGGACAGGAGGGGAGGAGTCGAGTAGAGGGCAGGTGAGGGGAGGGTCGGCGAGAAGAGAAGGGCTTCGGAGGGGAGGGGAAGGGTGGAAGGGAGGAGAGGAGAGCTGGGGAGGAATCGAGGGCCTCGCAGAGCAAGAGAAGAGGGAAGGGTTGGTGAGGCCTAGAACGGCAAACACCGTTGAGCTCGAGCCCTGGCAGGACGCCATCGACGCCCGGCCCGGCGCCCCCGCTTGGCGGCCCGGCGCCCCCCGCGGGCCCGCCGTCGCGAGCTTGGCGGAGCTGAGGCCCTCCCAGACCCGCGCGGGCGGCGGCGAGGAGGCGGTCCCCACCGGCGGCGAAAGTATCAGCATCCACAAGGGCCCAGGGCCCAGTTCGGCTGCCCCGAACCTCCTCGCGCTGGGGAAAAATTGCAACAGGAGGCTTTTTCATTATTTTCGGCCTCCAGGGGGGCCCTTCCCGGGCCTCGAGACTGTCAAAAAACGACTCGGGATAAAAAACCGGTCCCCAGGAAGGGGTCCAGACCGTGTGGGGTCGACGTTGTGACAAAAGTCAAGACGTCGGGAGTCTGGGGCACGTACGGCAGGTTCCTGTGGCGTTGGCGCGCTGGCGACGCCGGCGCAGGCGTTCTTGGCTGAATTCTGCGACGCGGAAGCACCGAGGGGCACGGTGACGCCTCTGGACCCGACGGAATTCAACCTAGAACGATCGGACCCACGATCGATTCAAGGCTGAACGATCGAAGCGGTGTCAAGAACCTTTGCCCGCGCCGACGTCGCACGAACCCACCGTAATCAGAGGGGCTTGTTGCCGAAGTGACTTTTTGTGGGTGCAGGCCCCCGAGGGGTGCCCCCAGCGTGGGCCTGCGATAGCGCGGGCTGGGCCACCCCGCGGCCCCGTGGAGCCGCGCGCCCGAGGTCGCCCTTGCCCAGGGTGGCTCTTGCGTTAAGTCGGGCCTGTCCCTCTACAGGAGGCATATTCAAAAATTGTCAAAAACATAGTCTGGGCATTATTTGTTTAGTATGTGCTGACTGTGTGTTGATGATTTGTTGAATATTTGTTTTGATTGTTCGCCCAAAATCCGCCTGCAGGGGAACATGCCCGACCTACGGGTAACTCTTGCGTGCAGCTTGCCCCGTGAGCCAGGACATTGCAAGCCACGGGCATGCGGATCCCATCTGGCGAGTTTGATGGATCCCATGGCTGCAGTTCTTCTCCCTGGCGCGCGAGTGTCTGGTCCATCAGGACGTCCCCGTGATCTGGTGGCCCTGAATCCGCGCCCTCGCAGTCTGGATTCCGTGGCGCGGTCCCGCGGATATACGCAGTCGCGTGGGTGCTTTCCGCGGGGGCGCGGCCCAGCCCGGGGGCCCAGCCCGCGAGGCCGTGGATGTGGATATATGTTCCGCCCTAGAGGTCCTCCGCTTCGACGTGTCGGGCATGGCGGCGGAGGCTCAGAGGAGGAAAAGTTGGGGACGTGTAAGACTCGGGTAAGCCAGAACTCGGGTTTGCCGACTTTTTTGACGAGCGCGTCCTGGATTTGACGGTTCCGTTTTCGTGGGATGTCTGCAGCGGGACCCCGCGTCAAATTTCAGATTTGGTCTCGTCATGTTTATGATGGCCCCCGTCAGGCCAACCCGAGTCCCCCGTACCCGAGTCTTACGTCTCCTCGAAATAGGTACGGACCGCTACCCGTCCTTCGAAGCCACGGCCAGGTGCGCCCCGAAAAGTCCTGGTCAGCACGCGCCCCAGGAGAGGCCCAGGGAGCAGCGGTATCTGTCTGCCCTCCCGGAGGCCATGGGGGCGGACCTCCGGGCCGAGATCGAAAGGGTCATCGCGGAGCACGTCTCGAGCTGCAAGGGGGCCGTCATGCAGCAGCCCACCTACAAGTCGCTGCAGCCCTCACCGTCGGCGTTCCAGGGCGGGGAGGCTCTGGTCAACCCAAAAGGGGGTCCAGCTGCAAGGGGGCGGTGCAACAGGTTTTAGGCAATCGTATTGCAAATGTATTGCGCCAGAGAATTGCATTGCATTGTATTGCAAGTAATGCATTGCACGCGAAAATACAGCAATCCATTTCCCGCAATGTATTGCACGCCCCACATGTATTGCAACCCCACAAATCTATTGCACCAAATCTATTGCACCACCCCCTTGTCGCTGGACCCCCTTTTGGGTCAAACCGAGAGGCCTCCATCGAGCGCACGGGGGCGCCCTCTGGCAAGGCCGTCCCCGGCGGCGGCGACGAGATCGAGAGGAAGAGGCGCGCGAGGAGGGATGATGCCGCGTCTGGTTTTGGCGACCCTCACCTCACCAACATGCACGGGGAGCTCGGGGAGCAAAATGTGGCACACGTGAATAACACAACCTCTCGGACCATCGTTTGCTGCTTCTCATGTCACCTGTGCCTCGGGACCTCCTTTGCTGCTTTTCTTCTCTGGCGCGCCGAGCGCGCTGGAGAAGGCGCTGGAGACGTCGCCAGGAGTGTGGGAGGGAGGTCCAGCGCCGACCCAAGAAATCTGCGCGGACTTACCAAAGCCTATGTTTCTGGCCTTGCCGTTGCCATTCTCAGGAGCACTTCGACCTCTACAAGCAGGGCGTCTGGGGACACAGACCGTACACTGACGCTGATCCTAACCAAGCCACTTCCTGGGCCCAGGTGTGGTCTATGCCCACCCCCGTGCCCAGGACGGGATCTTGGGCAACCACCACGGTTCTGTGCAGGCGGGTGTACGGTTGGCGTCCTCCCCAAGGGGTCCACACGCTCATCGAGGTCCCCCGGCGGGCGCGCCCAGAGGACGTGCTGCTGCGCGTCGACGCCGACGCCCTCCGCCTCGGCGCCGCGTGCGAGGACCTGTATTTCGAAGTCGTGAACATTACGGGCCGCTGGACGCGCCTGGACGGCGGCCTCCAGTTCTTCGCCCAGAGCGGCGCCGACAACAGGAGCTGGGACATCGGGGCTCGAGGTTGCTCGGGCCTCTGGGCCTCCGCGAGGCCTCCACGAGTGACCTCCGAAGGACCTCTGCCCCCCTGGGTATTCCCGCAGGCGGGGCCGACGGGTCGCAGGTGGAGCCAGGAAGGCCGGGGCGTGACCATTGGCAGCCCCCCCCGAGGTGGTTGCGGCTGGCCTCGAGAGGCCGCCAGAGGCAGTTTGGGGCGGTCCCATCACCCCAGCGCTGGGGCGCGGAGCGCCCGAGGGGCGCCGCTGGAGACCGCCTCCGTGGCTGTTCGGAGGGCATGCCGAGACTACCTCGGTGAGCTGCCCGAGCGCAATGCGATGAGACGTTAGAGTGACCCTTTGCCGGAGTGACCTTTGGTGCGGGCCCACTGGGGTCCCCCGGTCGCCGACCGCGAAGCGGCAGTGGCGTCTTTGCGCGCTCGGGTCTGGCATTCCCGCGGCCTCCAAAAAGCCGCGCGCCAAAGGTCATTCTTACCCAGGGTCCCTCTTGCGTGTAGCCGAGCAACCATTACCACAGCAGGGGCGCTCCGAGACGGTGCGTCGGGTGCGTCAGTAGGGATTCGGGGTGCGCGCGCACGGTTTTGGGACCCGGGTCGTTCCCCGAACAGAGCGGCGACAGACCGTGCGGTAAGGTCTTCGAGGTTTCGAGGTCATTGTACGGCCTGCCACCACACCAGCTCGGGACCCCCAGATCAGGAGTTGGACGCAGTTCGGCGAGGTGTACCTTAAGGTGGTCAGGGGGCACACCGCCAGCGGCATCGTGTACCTCAACGTCTTCGTCAAGCGCCTGGGCCGCGTCAGCTACCCCGTCGGCGGCCTCCTCGGCGAGGACGACCGGGGATGGCCTGGTCGCGTTGGGTCCGACGGTCCATGCCTAGATCTTGGCCTGCGGTGCGGAGGGGGAGGGGTCGCCGCAAGTCAAGATCTACACCTGTGCCGCACGCAGCGCGAGGGAGGAGAAGAAGGAAAGGCAGAAGGATGAGGAGGAGGAGGAGGAGGAGGAGGAGGGAGGAGGAGGAGGAGGAGGAGGAGGAGGAGGAGAGGAGGAGGAGGAGGAGGAGGAGGAGGAGGAGGAGGAGGAGGAGGAGGAGGGAGGAGGAGGGAGGAGGAGGAGGAGGGAGGAGGGAGGAGGAGGAGAGGAGGAGGAGGAGGGGAGGAGGAGAGGAGGAGGAGGAGGAGGAGGAGGAGGAGGAGGAGGCAGGAGGAGGAGGAGGAGGAGGAGGAGGGAGGAGGAGCAGGAGGCGAGGAGGAGGAGGAGGAGGAGGAGGAGGAGGAGGAGGAGGAGGAGGAGGAGGAGGAGGAGGAGGAGGAGGAGGAGGAGGAGGAGGAGAGAGGAGGAGGAGGAGGAGGAGGAGGAGGGAGGAGGAGGGAGGAGGAGGAGGAGGAGGAGGAGAGGGAGAGGAGGAGCAGGAGGAGGAGGAGGAGCAGGAGGAGCAGGAGGAGGAGGCGGAGGAGGAGGAGGCGGAGGAGGAGGAGGAGGCGGAGGAGGAGGAGGAGGAGGAAGAGGAGGAGGAAGAAGCGCGCAACGATGGACAGGGTGGCGCATAAGTGCCACTTCCGCCACCTGTCCGCCCGATCCCGCCATGGGAAACATGGGAGAAGAGGAGCGGGGCTGCCCAAACTGGCCAGGCTGGCACCGTTTTCGCTTCAAGCCATGTGCGGAAGCCGCACACAGGCTACAATAATCCCGCGGGCGAGCGCCCGAGATACAGGCAACAGAAGAAGGTGGCACAGCAGCAAGCACAAGGCGGAACCGCTAGCACTGCGCCAGAATCGCGCAGAGAGCGCCAGAAAAAGGACTTGTGATTTGCCACTGACCCTGAAACCAAGGGAGACTCGAAGGCCCAGCACGGCGCGCGCCAACCCAAGCCAAGGATAAAGACGACAACCCAGATCGCGACAGCAAAGTCCGCTCTGAGTGGTCCGCCGCCGAAACAGAGACAAGCAACCCGCGCTCAAACAACCAAGGTACACGCTGCCCAAAACCGGTTTGGGCACATTGCGCAGATCAAAGCACTTGCAAGTAGATTTTAAGAGGCGGGTGACCTCGCAATGTCGCGAGTGAACTTGCAAAGGGTAGCCATTGGAAGTGGTAACCCACGCCGGCGCGGGGTAACGACTCAGCGATGTAAGGCTTGAAATATGTGTCAACAAACGATTGATGAAGTAGGCGACGCAGACGATTGGTCAACTGCAATTGGCACAGGCGCAGGGTGCCCCCACGAACAAGAAAGGCGAACGGGGGCGACCCACTACAAGAGGACCTGGAGACACTAGCAATGCACATGCCGGGCCAGACCAGCAATCTCCTAAAAAGCGGGCGGCGGACGCAAATAGCCCTGAGCAGAGCATCGTCCAAGAGCGACAGCGCGCACATATGGGGGCTGGCCTGCAATGCGAGGACGAACGGAGGCGACCCGCAACGAGGGGCAATAAGACACTGGGCAGGCGTCGCGGGCGGCGTCCGCCACGCGGGCGGCGGCGGCGGCGGCTGGAGGAGCAAGCCGCCCGGCCGCCGGGAACTCGCGTCGCGGCCGCTCATTTTTGAAGGCGACGCGCGTGGGCCCAAATCCTCATGGGGCGCGCGCCGAAGGGGCCGCCGCTGACGAGTCCTCCAAGTCATAGGGCGCACGAGAGAAATATCGCTCCGACAAGTCCGACCCTTCTGATGAGACTCTGCGTCTTCCTGCGTGCTCGAGCGGGTTGCCAGCGCAAGGCGCGGGCGTTCTCCAGGTTGCCGCGCGTCGTGTTGGAGCGTTGTTTCTTAGACAACAGTCAGACCCGAACACGCGAGCTTGCAGGCGGGCGCCAATGTCGCCATCGGGGCGCGGAGCGGAGAAGGCGCGCCAGTAGTCATGGTGATTCGCGCGGCAGGCAACGCCGTTCCGCATCGCCCGAACTTCGAGCTGGCTCGTGGGAGTCATGAGCGGACGAGACGCGGTCGCCCCCGGCCTTGCCCAGTTTGCGCGCGCGGCGCCGCGTCGAGGGGGGCCTGGCGCGACCCCCGACGTGCTCGCCGCTCCCGAGTTGGGCGACGTCGCCGGCGAGGCGAATGGGGGAGCGTGAAAGGGGGCGACCCAGGGCGACAGGCGCGGGGGCGCCCCCGGCGCGCGGCCTGCGCCGGTTAGCTTGACGCGCGCGCGCAGCGGGCGCGCTCCTGACGGCGCCATTGCTGCCTGGGCTCCCAGGGTGCGCGCCTGCAGGGACAGTCGCAGGGGCAAGGCCGACGGCGCCGATAATTTCTGCCCTGACTTGCTGCTCTGGAACATTGCGCGTCGACCACCGATTCAGATGACAGGGGGGCGCGGGCCGCGCGACGCCCAGGAGAGAGGGGCGGGCGGACTCGCCGCCCCTACCGCGCAACCCGACGCGGCTGCGTCGTCGAACTTGCCACGGGGGGGCGCCCCAGAGGACTCGGAGGCGGAGCGCGCCGACAACGGCGCCGGCGCAGGGCAAGAACAGGGCCCGTGCCAGGGAGGACGCAATTCGGCGCGAGCGGGAGCGGCGGCAGCGCACGAGCAGGCGGCCCGCCACGCGTAGAAGGACAGGCAACGACGCCGCGGGCGGCGCCCGCCACGCGCGCGGCGGCGGCGGCTGGAGGAGCGAGGCCGCCCGGCCGCCAGGAACCCGCGTCGCGGCCGCCCGCCCGGCGAAGGCGGCGCGCGCGGGCCCGAGTTCCCGCGGGGGGGCGCGCCGAAGGGGCCGCCGCAGACGCGCCCCCCTCCAAGTCATAAGACGCACGAGAGAAATATCACCCTGACAAGTCCGACCCCTCTGGCGAGACTCCACGTCTTCCCGCGCGCACGGGCGGATTGCCCCGCGCGCTCGGGCGGCGGGTTACTAGCGCACGTCGCGGGCGCCCCCCAGTTTGCCGCGCGTCTTCTTGGAGCGCTTTTTCTTCGAAGGACAGGCCCTGGCGCGCGAATTGGCAAGCGGGCGCCAATTTCGCCATCGGGGCGCGGAGCGGCGAAGGCGCGCCAGTTGTCGCAATGATTCCGGCGGCAGGCAAGCCGCCCCGCGTCGCCCGAAATCTCGAGCTGGCCCGCGGGAGCCACGAGCGGACGAGACGCGGTCGCCCCCGGCCTTGCCCGGGCCGCGGGGAGCGCAGAACGCGCGCGGCGCCGCGCCGAGGGGGACCTAGCGCGACCTTGATATGCCCACCTTCTGAGCTGGGCCGCGACGTCGCCGGCGAGGCGAATGGGGGCGCGCGCCCAGCGCGAGGCCTGCCGGGCAGCCAGACCCCCGCGCGCGCAGCGGGCGCGCTCCTGACGGCGCCATTGCTGCCTGGGCCCCCAGGGTGCGCGCCTGCAGGGACTGATGCAGGACCAAACGCCGACGGCGTCGGATTCCTTTTGATTTGTTGCTCTGGAACACTACGCCTGGACCACCGACTCAGACGACGGGAGGGCGCGGGCCGCGCGACGCCAAGGAGAGGAGGAACGAGCGGGCTCGCTGCCTTCATCGCGCAACCCGAGCCGGCTGCTTCGTCGAACTGGCCAGGGGGGGGGGGGGGGGCGCCCCAGAGGGCGCGGGGGCGCGCCGCGCGGCGACGCTGACGGCGCCGTCGCAGGGCAACATCGAGGCCCGCGTCAGGAAGGAAACGTTTCGGCGCGAGCGGGAGCGGCGGCAGCGCGCGCGCAGGCGGCCCGCGCTGCGCCGCCCCCGGAGGGGCGGGCAGCGGCGTCGCGGGCGGCGCCCGCGCGGGCCCAAGCCGTCGCGGGGCGCGCGCTTACGGGGCAACGCGGCCACGTCTACAGTTCGCGCCTGGAGGGGGGGGCGGAAGAGGAGGGGGGGAGGAGCGCGGGGGGGGATGGGGGGAGAGGGGGGAAGAGCAGGAGGGGGAGGAGGTGGTAGGACAACGCGGCCACGCGACTGGGCGCGGAGGAATGCCGCGCGCTCCTCTGTTATGCGTCGGCGTTGCCATCGACATGCGGTTCAACTTCTAGTTGCCTTGTCCGCAAATTGCCCCATGCTTCTACTTGGTTCTCCTGGTAGCGGAGCCCGCGGTTCGCCCCGCGGGCCCCAGAGCAGAGAGAGGGAGGCGACCGCTGCTGCAGCGGCCCCAATGAACCCCAGCAGCAATGACCCATGCGTGGAGCTTGGTACAATCTAGGCACGCATCGATTCGTGGAACTGTGCAATGCCAGCTGCGATAGAGGAGATGTGCTACCGCCGCCCTGAAGGCCAACCGCGAGTGTTTGAGGTTCTTCTTCGATCTCAGCGTCATGATTCGTGCCCAGGCGATTGGCGATGGCGAGGCATTCACAGCGTTGCAGATGAGCATCAAAATGGATGCTCTGCTGACCTCAGTCACCAACCACAACGTGCATTGCGAGGGACAGCTCAACAACTTGAAGGAGCACGTTAGGACATAAGTCGAACGCCAGGCGAACACTTCGGAGACAGTAGCCCAGATCGCCGAAGCTGCGCAGTCCGCTCGAAGCGCGAGGGCCCGATGATGTGGGAACAAACCAGTTAGCAAATACAAAGCCGTTCAACAGTTGCAGATGTTCACGGCTTACTAAACCAAGTTCAGGGGGCGGAGAGAAGGTTCTGAGCTCGCTCGCCCAAGTGATCAGCGGTTCTCGGGGGCCCCGGCAATGCTCGCGCCCGAATCAGAAACCGCGGATCGGGAGTTGCCCGACGACGCAGAGGCCGGCTGAACACTGATTGCGCTCGCACGGTTGCCACAGGGCGAGCGCGCCAAATAGCCGCTCGCCAAGCCACGAGAAGGCGACGCCAGAGGGGGATCTGAGCTCGATGAAGATGACCGCGCCATGTTGGACGTGGACCCGCGGCACTTGACGCATGAAAGTTCGGTCGGGACGG